CTGTCCAGGTAGAAGCACATTTGCTGTGCCTCTGGAGTGGACCATCTGGGTTAACGTTCCAAGGGCATCTAACCAATGTGGACCAAAACGCCTCTGCTGTCCAAACCAACACACAGCAAGTGAAGATTACCACAGGATCCGTTTCCAGACTGCTCTGTTGCTCCAAATGGAAGCACGAGCATAGACAGTCACGGGGAGAGAAAAACTCTCCAAGGACAGGGAAAGCCCAAGGCAGAGTGCAGTAGATGCCCAATGCTCTGTCACTAGGACGGTTCATTCTGGTCATCAACTTTCCCTGCAGTTTAGAAGCAACTGTAGGATGTAAAATTGCTGCCCAACAGTGACTCCCACAGCAGGTTACTATACGGACTATGTCCATAACGGCGTTTGCATTACAGGGGGACGATGTTCACCATGACAGAGGACATCGGCACAGACTGCTCATGTGAAAGGGTGGATGAAATTATTCTGCCACAACAAGAGTGACCAGAAACACACATCCATAGTTTGAATAAACACATGCCACCATCAGCCAAGCGTGCAAAGTGAACTTCTTTGCAAAGCAACTCAAAACTCGTCTTCAGCAGCAGTTGGGAGGACAAGAGACTAATAAAGAGTGAGGAAATTCAATTGCATAGACAACACCCATCAGCTACAGCAAGATCACAGGAATATGGGAAATGGTCTGCTAGGTCAGCGTGATGGTGCATCTCCTCCAGCTAACAATGCTTCGACAGTGGCATTAAAAGAAAAATCTTCAGCGGGAGCACACAAGCCTCACCACTATTTGCAGTCCATTCACCTCACATTCTTCCTAGCATCCACAGTCATTGACTGGAGATGGTAGAGCACACATCCTTCCCTACCTTCTCTAAACCCTTTGAACTTGCTGACATTATATCTGCCTCACTATTTCCTGTGGTGGCAAATCCTCTGCCTTTTAAAAAGCACTTTCTTTTTTCCCTTTTAAATGGATCTCCGACTTGTTTCCATATGTCTCCCCTCATTCCAGCATTGTGGGATTTTTTTAAACCCCAGAGCTATTGTTTCTCACCACAGTGCTCCGTGTTTAGTTAGAGAAAAAACATCATGCCATGCAAGGAGCCTCAGCAGAATTCCTCGGAGGTTTAGAGAAATTCAGGAAAAAAACAAGTCTGAAAGATAGACCTGGGGTTTATGAGTTGTCTCCACTGGTCTGCAGTCTCAGTGTCCTCTCTGCATCGTGCACAGGACATCACAAAGAGTTCAGAATGGTTCGGTTTTCTGTGCTAGTGTCTCAGTTGTATGTATTATTGTTGGCCACTCCAAAGGCACACGCTAAATGCTGAAGTTAGCTATTAAATACGTCCTTAGCTATTTCAGCTTCCTCAAAATGTTCATCTCCCTGTTCCCTCCTGTGAGAAAAATCACATGCTGAAGGAAAACCGTGCCCGGCATGGTGAGTCATCTGCGATCACAGCTAACAAAAGCCTTTGCTGCCCTTTGTGGCAGAAAGAGATGAAGGTCCCTCAGGGGTGGCTTTGCTGGCTGCCACCTGAGGCGAGCCTGACCTTTCCCAGAGCCAACAAACAGATTTGGGATTAGGGAAGGCACAGGACTCTGTTCCGGGGAATCTGTTGTCAGTCTTTATCCAGGATGAACCCCAAGCCAGAAGAAAACTGGAAAACTTGTAAGGGATGGACAGATTCCTTCTGAAGCCCCAGGACAGGGAAAGCTGCAAAGAGCTGGGACCTACTGGCTCTCTGCAAGCAAGGGTTGTGCTATGGAAGGCCAAAAACAGACCTGGGGGACAGGAGCTTATCACTTGTCCCATTAAGGCTCTTGTAGCACTTGGCCAGATGGTTAAAGCACCTCAGCAACTGGCAGTGCTGATAGCAGCCTGGATCATTTAAAGAGTACTGGAAGAAAGGAGGCAGAGTCCCTCAAACGGCCCTGTAAGCCCAATCCAACTTACTGAGCTAGGCATCAGACTGAAACACCCCCTCTTTCAGCCTCTCCTGGAAAAACAGAGGAATCAGGATCAGACCACTCCATTTATGGGGCTCTCCATCGCCACCTTTATTCAGACCCAGCTGTCCAAATCCTCGCACCACATCGAATTCCCCACGACAAGCACAATATCCACAACAAGGGTCCCACACAGTTGGGCTGTCCGGGCGCGATGCCGGGGCCTCTCTCTGCCCCCATGCACACCAGACACAGCTCGCTTTGCCATCTGCTGACCCGCAGCTGATGGCTGGGGTTGGGGAGCAGAAGACAGACCCAAAAAGCCTGCTGGAAGGCAGGCAGCCCGGCGACACGCTCATCCCTTTCAGATGACAGCACCCCAGAGGTGTGCAGCGACACTATATAACCTAAATCCAAAGGAATCCAGCTGAAAGGGTCCGCTCTTATTCTTTATGTTAAGCATATGCTTCCGTACTTTCCTGTACTCGGTTATATATGGAGCACGGGGGTAGCTAATCCCAAAGCTTCCTGCCACAACCTGCCCCCACCTTGAAACAGGCCCCAGTGCCACGGAGAGAAATGTTCCCACTTCAAACTTCCAAAGACTATACCATAAACACTGGGGATAATTAAAACTTGAACACTATGAAAAATACACTGGCGAGGACTCAAGGCTGTGGAGCTGGAAAGCCAGGTAGCTTAAAGAAGTGCCAGATATTTAACTGGTCTCCAAGATCAGCAGATGTTTTTCAACCTAACGTTGCAAAAACTTCCTTACTCAGATGTGTTTCCTAAATCAGAACCAGAGAGGAGAATGTGTGCTGGGTACTGGGACTATGTCAAGTACTTTTCCAGCACTGCAAGATCTTCTATTTTTTTTAAAAAAGGGGGGGAAAGAGGAATGTAGAGAGAAAAAAAATAGGCTTGTTTAAAGGATTCTGGATGCTTACCTAAATCGTGTAAGAAAAGGAAAATTCCTTCCCTGAACTGAAAAGACTCGGATGCAATTAAGATGGAGATAGCATCAGCCCATTTCCCCGTCTGGTATTAAGCTATTCAATGGGAGTACTGCAGAATACAGTGGTTGCAGCTGATATAGTCTTAGTGATATTTAGGTGGTCATTTTCCTTTTTTTTTTCTTTCTTTTTTTTATACTCAGTTATCTCAAAAGAAACTATTCAGCAGCTCACTTTCGAAAACCAGCCTCCCTCACCTGGTACGAGACAATCTGCTATAGCGCTGCAACTAAAAACCCATCATCTCAAAGCCACTGGTCGGTTTGTGTTCCCACCAGCCGCTCCTCTATAGCCAGAGAGACAGAGCCCGTGTCTGAAGGTCCTCTCTGCTACTCTGCTACACCTTTGAGGGGCTTTACAGGGATTTGCACACGTTTTTCTCACTCAAAAGAGAGATTATGTGGCCTGATTAAGAGATATTGTAGGAAAGAAACCAGCGGCTTCAACAAGCTTCTTGACATTCCCTTTGATATAACGCACATCAGTTTTTAACGGGAGTGCGTCAAGCTGCTGCTTAGCCTTAGTAATGCCATGCTTAATAACCAACATTACTTCTCTCCCCTCTCTGCAGTGGCAGCCATTGTCCAGTAATTTCTGAATGAACCTCTGTATCAACATAAAAAATTTTTGTACATATATATATCTATCTATCCACAATCTGCTCTTCCATGTGTGAAGCAATGCAAGAGTTGAGACCTGCTGAGTTACAGCTTTTCCTGTATCACAGGAGATGGAAATGCAAGGACTTTCTGGGTCACTGAGTCCAGAACCTTGTCACTATACTGTGAGATCCCTTACAGAAACTGACACTCCTCTATCAAAAAAAAAAGAAAAAAAAAAAATATGAGAGAGACATTTTATAGGTAGTGATCCACAACACTGCAGATTAAAAAATACAATCTGTCACTTTGAAAAGGTGTTACCACTGTCCCAGAAGCTGCTCCCAAAGACATTTAATTCTGGGTGGATCTCTCCTTCCTACTTTTGCAATGAAGGAAATCTGAGAAAAAAACTGCTCTGCCTTTCAGGTGGGTGACAGCAAGAAGCACACAGAGGAATGACAAAGGAAGGTGTCTGCTCAGCAGATCTTGCTATGGAACAGACAGGCTGCACACGTATCCCTGAAATTCATACCAGTCACAGCATCCACGCCAGCTGTACGTCCACCACTTGATGGATGCCAGAGCAGAAGATGAACCTGCAGAAACCAGCTCATCCTCTGGGCCTGCTCCATCAGACATGCACGCACCATAAACCTCCAGCCTCCCACCACGCAGCTTCAAAGCTGTTCTGCAAAGGGAAGCAGTGCTGTCTATGGTTAGCTCCTTTTTCCTTTGCTGGCAGAGACTCACCTCCAGTCCTATGGGAAGAAAGAGACTGAGACAGAGACCAGTGGGTGACACAGTTGTCACCTCTTTCCATAACCTTCGTCAGGGTTGTGATACAGTCGGTTACCACACCTAAAGAGGGCACCAGGGACAGCAAGTCCAAGCTCTCCTCCACCCAGTCCAGCTCCCAGAGCACACAGCTTTTGGGGCTTCACTTACTGGACATTTCAGAAGGACACCTGTTGTATTACACAGACCTATTAGGTTACACAAACCTACCATCTGCCCCTGTGCTGTACCAACCAAAGTCTGCAAGCACCCTGAGAGCAAGGAGGATTAATGTTACATTTCCATCTGCTCCACAACATGAGCTGCCCATAAGCAACAACCTGAAGATGCCTCTGAGCTCCTAAATCCCACCTTGCCCTTAAAAAAATGCAAGCCATGGGAAGAACAAGAGGAGCCATGACAATCCAGTTCCCTCGAAGCACAAGTCACATCCACAGCAACATTTCAAACTTGCTCCGTTTCCTGCATGGCTAAATGCAGGGAACATTAACAGGTCACATCAAAGAGACATCTAAGCGGTGACAATGCCAACATAAAACCATTCACTGGGTCTGCAGCAATGTAACAAACTTTAAAAAAGTATTAAAACAGACTGTTTATTACAGCATATGATGTGTTATATTAATTTACACAATGATATATATATATAAAAACAGCCATTGATGATGTACAGTAAATTGGACATCAACAGGAATATTAAAACTACTGATACTCATGCACGTGACATGCATATGTGGGTTTTTTTTTTCTTTTTCAAAAGCAGTTTTACACAATATATTGAAGTTACTAAGCCTTGGTCAGCTGCTCCAACAGTCTACTCTCAACACCGCCGTCATCCGCAGCGGGACTCCCAGGAGATCGGAGCAGAGTGCACTCCAGAGAAGGCACTCAACTTAACCTTGGAGACAGATTGAACAGGAGCCCTTTCCTGGTGGGGGAAGGCTGAGGGAGGACAGAGGTGAGTTTGAAGAAGAGAATTGACAAGAAAAGAAAGAAAAACAGGCCAGACTACCAGGAGGAAGAAGTTTAAGATGTGGCAACAGGAGCAGCAGAAAGGGACAAGCAAAAACGTGAAGACCACCCGCACTCCCTCCCCCTTATCCCCTAAAAACTTATGACCTTAAGCTGTCAATATCCTGTATAAGACCCAGAACTGGAAAAACTAGGCAAGGAGGACCCATTCCCAGAAACATTAGCCTTGTTTCAAAGCCTTCTGATACCATGCACTGGAGGCTGTTCACCACTGAAATGGTAGGGTTATGGTTTGTTTTTTTAAGACAAGTATAATCGTCTTTTATTTCCACGTAAAAGGCACTAGTATCCAACCAAGTTCTGAAGACAAGTGACATAATTTACCTTAAGTTTTAAATATTTGTATAAAAAAAAAAAAAATCTGTGGAAATATGTACACAAAAGCACCTTGCTTCCAAAAGCAGAAGCAGATACATTCCACCAAGTCACCTCACTAGACGGTTGTCATGAGCTTCAGGGAGCCCGACCGAAAGCGAAGGATTTTCTTCTTGAGGTTATGGGAGGCTTTGATTTTGACAAAGGCCTTCGCCGCATTCTCGTGCAACTCCGGCGCCGTGACCGTTTGGATGGGGAGCGTCTGGACAAACTGAGACCAAATAAGGCCCCCACTCTCATCAGAGTCACTGGTGGTCGTGCTCTCCCCTACGAACTCCACCTCGCTCAGGCTTGACTCGCTGTCTCCAAAGCAGTTTTTTTAGTTGCTCTGCTCGTCCTCGCTCGTGTCCACCACAGTGGAGTGGAACAAGGACTCGCACTCCGCCGAGTACTCCGAGTCACTGGCCACGTAGGCGTAGGGGCTGACGTAGGGCAGGGGGACTTGCGAGTAGACCCCCACGCCCTCCCGCCGGTTCCTCCTTGCCCTCCGTAGGGCCTCCTCGTAGGAAATC